AGACTAAATCATCCATGGCTTGAGTTTTAAGCTTTGGGTCACTATTAATAGAGTAAGATGAGACCTTGAAGGAGCTCTTCTCTCTCACAAAATGAAGAAACCTTTTTAAGAGAGAGAAAGGAAGAAGAAGGGTTTGGGCATGCCAACTTAAGAGAGAATAACGAGAGTGGTGTGTGATATTTGGATAGAAAATTTGTTGTGTGAATTCATGTAAGGAAAAAGTTGACTCAAGAGGGTATTTATAGCTTTTTTAGCTCAAGTATGGAGATACTTCTAGATGATGAATTGTAACCCTGCATGTCATCTATCAAAAACTACAAAGAGAGGTATGATTCTAGCCCACCATCCACCATCATGCTATCCAGATATGTGGTCAGGATTTAAACACCTTTATTATTCATTTATGTCACTCTAATTTCCCTTTTCATAAAAAATCACATGCTTTTCACGTTTAACAAACCATAAAACCAAGATGGAGGGTATGCCCTTATGGTCATTTAATAAAATTTTCAGCAAAATAAAATTTTTAAAAATTCCCTCCTTTTATAAGAGCATGTGGGTTTAATGAAACATGCCATATAAGCAAAGTGGTTAGGCTTATAGTTACAAACCATGTATCCCTTCTAGAATTCTCTACACATATGTACAAACCACTTGCTTTAGGCATCTAACTGTTGGGTGTACCTTTATCTTAAATAAGACTGGATACATCCCAATGAACACTTAATAAAAATTGAGTTGAGAATGACCCATACTTTTCTCTTGAAAAGTATACTTATTTAGTCCCAATGCAAGACTAAGAACGACCACTTGAAGACATGCAACAGACATACAATGGATGATTATTTTGAGTAGATGGTCAAGAATAAGTGTGGTTCTTAATAACATCATTCAAGTGTGCCCTATTTGACGATACTTAGAGTATGGCTTAGTCTATGGATTTTAAGATTCGACGAAGATTCTCGAAGACTTAGTCTCAACGATGTTCTAAAGCTGCCCAGAGAATTCTTAATCCATCTCATCCTCAACGACAGTTTAAAGCTGCCTAGAGATGGCTTAACCCATCTCAGCCTCAACGGTAGTCTTAAAGCTGGTCAGAGATGTCTTAACCCATCTTAGCCTCAACGGTAGTCTTAAAGCTGTCGAGAGATGACTTAACCCATCTCAGTCTCAACGGCAGTCTCAAGCTGTCGAGAGGTGGCTTAACCCATCTTTTTTTATCCTCCCCCATTCCTTGAAAGTCTCTCATTTTATATGTGACGATTGTTGATGAGTCTCTCGACGCCTTACTTACCCAAAACAATGAGGAGAAAAAAGAAACATCCTTGTACTATCTCAGTCAAAGAATGCAAGGTGCTGAGAATCATTCCCCTATTGAGAAAATGTGTTTGGCTCTGATATTTGCGATGCAGAAGCTTCGATTACACACCAAATTTGGCTCATTTCACAGGCTGATCCCATCAAATACCTCATGAGGCATCGTTGTTTATCAGGACGTCTTAATAAATGGTCACTACTCCTTATGGAGTTTAACATAACCTATGTGCCTCAAAAAGTTGTCAAAAGAAAAACATTAACAAACTTCTTGGTTGTGCACCCTCTCCCAACAGATTTTCTCTAGCAGACGATCTCCCATCTAAGGAAGTACATTATTCTAAGCTCTCATATGATTTTAAGATGCACTTTGATGGTGCCTTTCAAGCAGGGCACAATGGTGCAAGGGTGGTGTTTTCTACACCCAAAAATGGCCTCGTCCTGCTACACTTTTCCCTTGAGAAGGTAAGAGTCTCATAATGAAGCTGAATACAAGGCACTCATCACATGGAGATAGAACGCCCGACCATCTTTAGATATTCGGACCTGGTGTTACGACAACTTAAAAGGGTATATGATGTAAGGAAGGAGAGGCTAATCCCCTACTATAACACAACAAAAGCTCTGTTGGCGAACCTTGAGGAAGTCTACCTATAGCATATCCTAGTAGGCTCAATCCACAAGCAGGCACACTGGTCAAACTGGGTACGATTATACAATTACCGATAATGGAGCCCTTGTCGATTTGGTTAGTCGAGTGGAGGCACATCGACCTTGTAGACGAGCTTGACTACAACAATGAATTGTGGCTGTTCTCAGAATGCCCAACATGTCGCAAACCTGCCTTAGGAACCCCACACTTCAGAAAAGAACTATGGAGAAGAGCCAGAGTCTCAGATTCCACTATGCGCCGATGTGGAGCAAGTGGAGGATTAGCGAGAGCCCATACTTGAGTTCCTCAAACATGATTGCCTTCTAGACGATCGTGTCAAGTGTTGGAATTATGGCCTTTCAAGGCCTAGAGTGCAATTCCAGCACTATTCGGACACACAATGAGAGTGACCAGAAACATAGTGGCTACTAGAGTCTTTGCGTACTGGGATCCAAAAAGGTAAAAATAACCATGTTTGATTGACTGAGGCGAGGTTCTTGGACCATTTTGTGAACTGAGAGGTTTTAGGGTGTTTTCTCAAGTCAGGGTTGGTATTAATGTGTTCACCTCATGTCGTGTGAGCCATGGCTTGGGGATAAGTGGATCTTAATTTGTTTGAGATATGTTGTGTATCAGCCCTGTATGAGTATAACTGGGCTATAAGAGGACATAAGCTCAAATCCCTGACATATGTAGCTTGCTCACAGTGTGTCACAGATAATCGCATTTTGGGAAGCCAATATGATGAGGTAGGATCCACATATCAGAACTGCGCATGCGTGCTGAGAGAGGACCCTTGCATCCGCAAGAGTTCATATCCTTAAGGGCACTTCTTATCCACCGAACACCCTGGGATCCATTCAACTATCGATTAGTCTTGATAGGTCCACTCATGTTTAGAATGAAGACTGTTATAGTGCCTATTGGGTTGGATTGAGAAATTGGATTGAGCTTCTAGATCTAGCTCAATGGAGTACCATGTAGCCTGACCTCTTGTGAGATCGTATTTTTCCATTAGATTTATGAGAAGTCCCGGACTAGGATATTTTGATGAGAATCAATCGAAAATGATTTATCATGATTTTAAATAATTTTTTGAGAATTTTATTTCAAAGAAAAAATGCTTTGTTAAAATTGTTGTGTGCTAATTTCTATTAAGAATGTCCACACATGTGATATGTGGCTGTGTGCTACATGTGCATCTTCATAGGGCTTCCACGTCATGTGCGCTACATGTGCATCTTCAAGGATCACCCACATAGGTTATCCTTGTTTGGGTACGACATATAACATTGATAAGTATAAAGTGCATTGTGGCACATGTGTCTGATACAAGCCTTCAACTTATCATTAAGCTTGTGTGTGATACAAGCCTTCACTACTAAGTTTGAAATGGGTGGCTCACCACCCTCATTAGGATTTTGAAATTTCATTTTGAATGAAAGGTGGTGATTAAAGGTTTTAAAGATGAATGGTTGAGATGAGTTGTTTTTTTAAATTAAGGTTTAAGAGTACTTAAGTAATTGTTGGAAAATTATGAAGGTGTTATGTAGGCATAGTAATAAGGGTCTACTCAATCATATCATTCATATGATATCCATCAATAGTGATTGATAATGTTAGGTCTTTAGCTTCTCTCAACCCTTAGATCAATCAATTGGTGGTTGAGATCTAATCTATGGTTTATACCCCACATGAAAAATTTATATAAGGACCACTTCCCATTCAGTCATGCCTTTTTGCCTTCACTTTGAGACACCATATCTTCTTCCTAAATATGCTCACGCCCCTCTCAAGGTTCTCTACTTTCTTCCCTCTCAAAACTCATAAATTGATTTTGTTACCTTCTTTATTGTTGCATGCCTTTGATTTAAGGCTGCTGTTGGGTCTAAGATATGCCGCTGGAAATTCATAAAAATAGTAAGCAATCATGCCCATAGTATCTTTTTACAATCTTTTAGTGCTCGATTTGAAGAGCATTTGTTTTGTGTACTTTTTATAGTGTAGTTTAGAACCAATCGCATGTTTTCCACTCCAAATTGGACACATGCCTTCTTGAGCACCATCATGCATTTTTCCATAGGATCAAATCACTCTTATGAAAGTGTAAGTTGCTAGTTTTTATCATAACAGAAATCTTACTTATTTAACCTTTCATCTTTGAAGTGTTTTTAAAGAGCCTTCGTTAAATGCCATTTTTTTATGATGTAGTTGTGAACCTCTTATTTGGAAACTGTTATGGCATCAATTTTGCTGGAAATGCAACTATATGATACATAACAGTGAGGTCTTAGTATGCTCCACACACCAAGTCTAGCCCATTTGATTCCATAGGTGTTTTGAGGTTTTAACCAAACCCTAGAGCCTAAACTACTCCGGTTTGAGCCCGTTTTGGGTCTGATTTCTCCCGCTTTGGCCCTTGTGGTCCAATATCCCATTTGAAATCAAATTGGACTTCTTGGTATGAATGAGAATCTCATGATGTGGTGGTAGTTTATTTTCTTCTTGAGATTAGAACTTAACCAACCCCTTCTTACGCTATCAAATGTGAGTGATAGCAAGGGTTGTGATTATATCGTTGCAGTTTTCGCATAGTGGTTGTTTGGAATTGGCTTCACATAAGAGATATTAAACTCATGATGTTACTTCTTAGTCTTTGCCTTTTTCTTGTATTTTACTTTCGAAGGATTGTAAAAGAGCTATGCTCAATTTGTAAAGTTGTTGATGTACAAATACTATTATAATTTTCGACTTTTGTAGTTTGTAATATATAGGGGTTTTCCAAAGATTCAATGGAAATTTATGTCAAGAGTTTTTAAAATTTTTGTTTTGTTTACCTTGTGTAATTCCTATGATACTACTTCATCAAGTGCAACAGTATTTGGAGGCAAGCCACCAGATATGCATGTGTCAGTGATCTTCTGTTCATGCGCTCTTTCAACAACTTGCTTCTCAAGTGCATTGACCAGAAAGAGGCAAATACGTACTTCAGGAGATTCACCTGATTCGAAGATTGGGTTACTATTGGCCAAACATGGTCGCTGATCCTATGGCCTATGCTAAAAGATGTCAAGTTCGACAGATACATGTGAACTTCATTCACCATGCCCCAGAGCCTTTCCATCCGATGGTGGCATCATGCCCATTTGCACAATGGGATATGGATATTGTGGGACCCATTGATCCACCTTCTATTGCGGAGCTTATTCTTATTCTCATTGCCATCGATTACTTTTCAAAATGGGCTGAAGATGTTCCCCTCAAGCAAGTCCCCATGAATATCGTAGCTCACTTTGTTCGCCACCACATAATCTATAAATTCGATGTGCCTGACTGGATCACGTTTGATATTGGTCCCTAATTTCACAGCAATCACATAGAGCACCTGGTTAACCAATTCGACTTTGAGTGGAAATATTCCACCATGTACCACCCCAGGGCCAACAGTTTAGCCGAAGCTGTCCCTTTGGGATGCTTTGCAAAACCTATCCCAAAAATGATGGGGAATTAGCATGAGAGACTTCCAGAAGTCTTATGGGCTTATCGTACCACCACACGCAATGCTATTAGGAAAACTCTATTTTCCTCATTAGAAGCCCTTAAATTGTACAAAAGATGGTCCTAACTGCAAGACCTACTGCACAAAATAAGCTCCTAGCTACAAGCGCATAGCTACAAGACCTTAAACTGTAGAATACAAGGTCCTAGATGTAAGACCTTAAACTGCACAGCACATGGTCCTAGCTACAAGACCTTAAACTGTATAGCATATGGACCTAATTGTAAGACCTTAAACTACACATCACGGGGTCTTAGCTACGAGACCTTAAACTAAAAGCACATGGGCTTAGCTACAAGACCTTAAATTGCACATCACATAGGCCTAGCTGCAAGACATTAAACTGCACAATACAGGGTACTAGCTGCATGATCTTAAACTGCAAAACATAGGATCCTAATTGCAAGACCTTAAATTGCACAACACAGGATCCTAGCTGCAAAATCTTAAACTGCATATTAAACAGTCATAGCTGCAATACCTGTAATTGCATTTCCCTACAGTCCTCACCACATGACCTTAAACTGTAAAGAAGTATCAAGAATTTTGAAAAGCCATACACCTTGACAAAAAAATAGGAAAAACACAAAAATAGAAAAAGCGATTATGACAAACATGATGAGCATCCGAAAGGCCACCATGGGTAAAATATGTCAAAAAGAGAAAAGAAAAGATGACTATAACGAAAATCAGCAAGGGAACTACAAGCAAAAATGTCAAAAAGGAAAGGGGTGCAAGGAAAACCCCTAAGGACACTCACTCCCAAGTGATGGATGCACCAATCCCATAGACCATCACGGGTAAAAATGTCATGAAACTCACATCCCTATTGCATGACGTTAATTGTGCAACATATGGTCCTAGTCAAATGATCTTAAATTATACTCCATCTGGTCGCATGGAATAAAATTGCTTGGTTATGGGTGCAAACCTAGATTGGCCACCCATGCTACCATCTTAGTACGACGGCGTGGAAGACACAAAACATCGTCCAATAATCTCATGTTGTTAAACTGTCACGACCACACTCCCTGACCCCTACCGTGCTAGTCAGATGACAATAGAGTGCAGGACCGTGACCAGAGGTAGTGAATGCCACATTGGTGAGAGTGTGCTCAACGCTTTTAGATAGACGGAATCAAAGAAAACAAAAACCCAAGCACAAAGGTACAAAGAAATGGACAAAAATAAAAATAATTTGTATATACAGGCTCCAAAATTTTATTACAATCATGTCCAAGGCACTATAAGCCCAACCACAAAATACAAGATTGAAAAACAAAACAACTATATGGCCACTGCCATCAGACACCTATTATCTGGATAACGCCTTTCTTGACAAGCGCAGATCTTCAACCGCTAGCCACGATTTACCCAGCCTTCCACTCTAAAAACCTGCAGGCTATCACTCGACATAGAGAAAATCAGAGGAATGAGCTATAAAGCCCAGTAAGTAGATCAAACATCATGTATTCCAGCCTATACAATGCTATTCATAAACATCTCCCAATATTCATGCAGGTGTCATAACATGAAGTCATGTATCACAATTCTTTCGCAATGGTGGAAGCAGTGTAAAGTAGATGTCAAAAAATCATACATCGCATGAACTAACAGTTACCCAATCTTTCCATCGAAAAATAGATTAGAGAAATCAGGTTAAACACATAGCGTAGTCAGGCAATCCTAGTGTCGCCTACTCCTGAAATAGAAGTTCTATCGATCAGGCCAAGCCAATCCTGTTACTTGGGACTTCTACTCTAACTCAAGAGGGAAGACAATGATAAATGGATGACCTATTTCGTAATGTCTTCATACACACATACAATTCCCAACACGCTTTGGGACTTTTGATAGGTTGTGGCCTTGCAAGACATGACCCTCTCCTTATGCCCTTCCGACAAGAGAGCGTTACACTGCCAATGGATAACCCAATGCGTAGTGCCCATATAGGTTTGGGGGGTGCAACCCACCTAAACGTTCACACTCACATCTCAACTCCTTCCTATCATTGGGAGTCAGAAAAAGATCTCAGTATTTCATGTCACACTGCCAATAGATGTCCCATTGCGTAGTACTCAACATCACACTCTTATCATATCAGATCCACCACCAATGGATGTCCCATTGCATAGTGTTTTCATATTACATTCTTATCATAGCAAATCCACCACCAATGGATGTCCCATTGCGTAGTGTTTTTGTATCACATTATCATAGGCTTGTCTTATTACAACCATGTACATTCATAGTTCATAAGCGTAGCTTATAAGCATTCACTCATGGTAGAGCATGTCTCATTACAAGTCTTCAAGAGTTCATGAGCATTCACTATATCATAATCATGCCTCATCAAAACCATGCACATTCAACAATTCATAATAGAAAAGAATTTTCAGTACGATAACCTCTTAGAAAAAATTGGCTTAACTTCCAATCTATAGAGAGTTTAGTCATGGTCTTATCCACCTTTTATTTAGAAGTGTCTTAGCCTTAATCAAAGACATATTGGTCAGTGAACAGCCCTTCATAAGACATATGATAGTTCTGAAAATTTACTACAACTCACAATAGTGACATATTTATACAAATAAGGGTATAATTCCCAAAGCATAAGGAATTTCAACATAGTTCCAGAACTATTTTTGAATTAGATACACCAATATTTCATTTAAAAGTAGTTTGAGATAATTTGGATACCATTTGGTTAATGAATAGTTCGGTACAAGATATGCAACAGTTATGAAAATTCACTGCAACCACTGTAACCGCTACACTGACATATTTATACAAACAGGGGCATAATTCCCAAACCATAAGGAATTTCAACATGGTTCCAAAACCATATTTTAAATAGACACACATATTTCATTTAAAAGTAGTTTAAGATCATTTGGACACCATCTGGTTAGTAAACAGTTCGGTAGAGAATATGCAATAGTTCTGGAATCACTACGACTATTGCAACTACCACAGTGATATATTCATACAAATATGGTATAATTCCCAAACCATAGGGAATTTCAACATGGTTCCAAAACTATTTTTGAAGTAGACACACAATATTTCATTTAAAGGTAGTTTGAGATTATTTGGACACCATTTTGTCAGTGAACAGTTTGGTACAAAACATGCAATAGTTATGAAAATTCACTATAACCGTTGTAACCACTACAGTGACATATTCATACAAATAACGGCATATTACCAAACCATAAGGAATTTCAACATGGTTTCAGAATCATTTTTAAAGTAGACGCACCAATATTTCATTTAAAATTTGTTTGAGATCATTTAGACACCAGCTGGTTAGTAAACAATTCGGTACAAATTATACAAGAGTTCGAAAAATTTACTACAACCACTGCAACCACTACAATGACATATTCATACAAATAGGGGCATAATTTCCAAACCATAAGGAATTTCAACATGATTCCAAAACTATTTTTTAAGACACGCCAATATTTCATTTAAAAGTGGTTTGAGATCATTTGGACACCATTTGGTCAGTAAACAGTTCCGTACAATACATGTAACAATTCTGAAAATTCACTGCAACCACTGCAGTAATATATTCATACAAATAGGGGCATAATTCCCAAACTATAAGGAATTTCAATATTGTTAAAATTCCATTTTTGATGGAGGCACACCAATCTTTCATTTAAAAGTGTTTTGAGATCATTTGGACACTATTTGGTTAATAAAAAGTTTGGTACAAAATATGCAATAGTTCGGAAAATTCATTGCAACCACTACAGTGACATATTCATACAAACAGGAGCATAATTCCCAAATCATAAGGAATTTAAACATGGTTATAAAACCATTTTTTAAGTAGACATTGCAATATTTCATTTAAAAGTATTTTGAGATCATTAGATGCCATTTAGTCAGTAAATAGTTTGGTACAAAACATGCAATAGTTATGGAAATTCACTGCCATCACTGCAATCACTACAATGACATATTCATACGAACAGGAACATAAGTTCCAAAACATGGGAAATTTCAACGTGATACCAAATTAATTTTGAAGTAGACTCACCCATCTTTCATTTAAAATTAGTTTGAGCTCATTTGTACATAATTTAGTTAGTGAACAATATTTTACAAAAACATGTAAAGTTTTTAGAAATTCACTGCAAAGTTTTGGTATGCTTCATAGAATGACTTATAACTTTCAAACCAATATAAACATTAACACAAGATATTTTCCTAGGTTAAAATAGATTCACTGCAGTGCTTACCACCAAATTTTCTGATCTATAGAGATGTATTCAAGGTGCAAACTCTCACACAATTAAGAGTCTCAATTCTGGGAAAAATAGGGTACATATATTCATCTCATGTTTGTAATTTCATTCTTATTCATACTTGGATTTAATGTAAAACAATCAAACAAAATCATGAGAACTTGAATGTTAGATCTACTTACCTGAACCCAAAAGGACTCCAAGTTCTGCACCAAGTTCCTCTCAAGGCCAAGCTTCCCAAGCTTATGGTTCTAAGTGTTGGTGAGAGAGGGCAAAGTTCTGTGAAGGGTAGCACTTATAAGCAAAGAGGGGGACGCTGTGGGCAGGTGGCATGCATGTGGCACACAAGTGGCATGCAGGCATCCAAATGGTTTGTTGTGGGGAAACAAGTGGCAAGCATGCAAAGCAAAGCATAAAGGGTTCCCCTAGCATGCACGCACGGCGGCAACTTCGCTCGCACGGCGGCAACTTCATGCACGATGGTGCACTCTCTCTCTCTCTCTCACTATCATGCACAACAACAACTTCATGTGCACATCGGCA